CCATCCCTGGAAGTGTTCAAGGCCAGGCTGGATGAGGCTTGGAGCGACCTGGTCTAGTGGAAGGTGTTCCTGCCCATGGCAGGGGGTTGGAACTGGGTGATCTTTAAGGTCCCTTTAAGGTACTGGGATTAAGCGTGTTTGCTCTTATTGTGGTCCTGACTAATTTCTACTTTGTCTGCCATGGAGGAGAGAATATGGCTTCCCAAGAAAAATTTTCCCTCCATATATGAAATGGAAAAAGTTACATTTTCTGCCTCCTGATGTTTCTCCATGATAAAGTATATGGGTTATGATAAATTTGTTTAAACCCTAACACCAAGAAAATATATTTTCCTATGCCTGGAACCTATCATCACCTTTAACTCTTCTGCTTATTTCTGGCTCCTGCTTTTTTATGAGACATGAGATAGGAAGTATATGAAATTCTTGGAAATTCAAGAGAGTACGAGTTGGGAATAAGAGAAGTCCTCACTGGGCTGACAAACCCACGGCACTTGCGTTAGAGCAGTGGCAAGATTACTTTTTGAATTTTGATGATAATTTCAGCTTGAACTGAAAGCCCAGTCCAGGCTGAGGTTTTCTCTAAACCAATACCAATTGCTGACTGGAGTCAGAGAGGCTACCTTCTCTTCGTTCTTATTTTGATCTGCATTACTTGGCAGGGGAGGGGGCAAAGCCCAGATGATTCACCACCCTGAGAAGAAGATGTCTCCAGGCCAGCAGAGCAAGTATGTTTCCAGTTCAAAAGCAAGTACTCCAAAGCAAGGTAGCAGCCTTCCACCAAGTTGCAACCCACGGTTTGCATCTCTACCAGAGTCTGATACGGATTCCCACAAAACCTGAATTCTCATTAGCACTTCCATTACTTTTTCTGTAAATTGGGGAAAACCCTATGAAGTATTTTGAGTCTTAAGGATAAAAAGAGTAATTTTTTTAAATGCACTGCATTACTATTTATTAGTTACTATTATTAACAACACTACGTATTTTCATATGGTAAATATTATTTCCTGCTTCTCACATCATCATGAAATGAGCCACAGCATGGAAATGTCATTGTGCAGATCTCAGCACAGGCAGGCTGACCTCAGTTCTCAAGAACTAATGCACAGCTTTAAAGCAAGTCACACCAGAAGCATATATTACTTTATGGATTTCTCTGTAAAATAACCCATCCCTCTTTGAGGCACAGTTTAAAGACAGAGCCCACAGGACATAAATCACAGCTGCTAAAAATACAAACCCCTTTAGGACATCACTCCTTAATGGCAGCAGAAATCTTCACAGGAAAAGACACCTGCCCCAGTGACAGAGAATAATCACCTTCCCAAAAGCATGTGTTGGATGCCTGCTGGAGTTAGCAAGTTCAGAGTGCCAAGTTTTCCTTTGGAAGAGAAGACAAGTTACAAAATGCAAACCAAAAAGCTATATTTCCTCTTGAAAAAAACACAGCTCCTTTTCAAAAGGGTGATGTGTATTATAAAAAAGGTATAATGGTGCACTAAAGTCTCACATACAGCTCCCCGGGAAGGGAATCTCCATCCTTGAACCCCAAGTACCAATGCAATCAAACCACTGCCGTTAGAATCAGCTGCCTAACCCACCCTCACTTATTTGCTTTATTTCCCTAAGCTACTGGTAAGAGACAGATTCAGACAGTTAATTGTACATAAGAGGTCTTTCTCCAAGTTTCTTTTGATGATGCACCAGCTCATCAGGTTTTTACAGCAATACTGATTACAGTATCAATGATTTTTAATCTAATGCTGACTGTTTTTCCTTTTCTACCAAAATAACAGTGCCATATTACTTAGGACGTTTTCTTTGGTCAACAAAATTTCCCAGCTGCCATGGGAAATGTTAAAATGTTGATACAGTTTCATCTCAAATGTGAATAAAATTTTCAGTATTTATCTTTTTTTTAAAAAATGAGAACTTTATCAGGCCTCAGCTTTTGATGAGCTTAAAACACAATGCTTCAAAGTTTTCCTTTCCTCATCCCATTCACATTCTACGGAACATTAGAATAATTTTACAGAGTATAATCCATGTGCATCCACAGAATACAGAAATATTCAGCTGAAGAGCACAGTTCGAAAAAACCTCCACTGGTTTTGTCAAACCAACATTATCTTACCACAAAGTTATTTTACCACAAAACGCCTGACACATTTTGCTGATAATACAAAAACCAAGAAAAAGATATATTCTCAGATGTTGCTGTAAGAACTGGACAACACATAACTCAAACTAGACAGCAGATTTGGCATCAGCTTTCTCCTCCCCTCCAAACTGACTTGTGTTACACTGGGCCTAGGTCTGTAGAGGCGACAATATATTCACCTTTGAGTCACAGCACACTACCCTCCAGCAGAAAGCCACTGTTGAAATCTTCAAAATTCCTGACCAAATGCTTTTTGGGCTAAAGGGAGAGGATTCTCTGATCTAAACGCACTGTTACGAGACCTTGTCTTCGTTACTCTCCTGGAACAAGTACTGAGTGTGCCAGACTCTCATCTCGTGGGTGCCAGTAGAACTCAGCTAACGTCACGGGGATGCAACCAACTTTGGGGATTCGGTCCACGATCCTGAGTACAGCCAGTCCAGAACGAAACCTCCTCCCAGGCTCTAGCAGAGGGTACTGATACTTTACGCCCATGTGCCAAGCGTGTTTTGCTTAAGTTTATGATGCATTTAATGGCTTTTAAGATTTCACTCCCTGTTCCTTTATTGGAAGGGCCTTAAAATCAAAAATAATGATTATGATGATTATGATGATAATGAAGAAAAAAAAAAAATCTGCATCATCCAGAAAAAAAGGGAATCTCAGTTTGATATGAAGCCAGTTTATCCATGAGTAAGGCTGGCCCGCTGCAGAAGCTCATAACAAGTGAAGCCTAACAGCTCTGATGATGAAAGGTATAAAGCTGAAAGGGAAGCTATTCGTAATGCCTAGCTTGGACCATGAAATGACATTCTTTTCCCTACCAATTTTCCCACCCATTTGGCAAATGCTGTCCTTACTGCATTATCACATATTCATAGGCACAGCAAAATAGGGTTTGTCGTATTTCTTGGTGGTTTTGTCTGGTGTTTTTCTGTTTCTGCATTTTTGCAATTAAACTGCTTGATATCAAAAGCCATTGCCACACAAAGTGCAGCAGAGAGAACAAAGTTAGCCCACAACAACTGCATAAGGCAAAATTAAAAATTTAAAAGAAAAATAACATTGTGTTTTGATTTCACAGCTGGAAGTGAAAAAGATATTGAGAAAGCTTAGGAAAACATAAATAAAGATAAGAACAGTCATCCAAAAATCTGTGTCTCAAAGGAAATACCCAGAAGACATTATTTAAATATTCTGGATAATAGGCAGCCATCAAATTTTACCCAAGAGCAGCACTAATCCTGGCACATCTCCTGCTTTCAGCCATCTCAGAGGACATTCCTCCTGTGCACAGAGCCAGTACGTATGCAAAACTTCCTTTGGAAATGCTAGCCAGGTCCCAGAAGCAGTGAAATTATCTTGTCAGCAGGGCTCCCCCACTTGGGTGCAATATCATGCTGACAAAGCACACACGCTCAAGAATCTCAGTCTTGTCTGACTGCCATCATTTCCGAAATCTCCGCAATATGCTCCTGGAAGGGGCTAGACATAAAGCAAATGGAACCAAGCCTTGCATGGGGAATTGTCCCAGAAAGCACCCATGCTAGACATTGCACAATCCTGAACCAGATGCTTCTCAAAAATGTTATCCTACTGGCACAATCCACCTAATTTCCATGTCTCATTTAAGATCCCACACTTCTTACATAGTCTATAGGCCAAGGCAGATGCCATTCTGATTTCTCAGGGACTTTATTCGCCTTGTGGAAGTTTCCCTGCTGACTGATGAATACTCAAATGTATCCAAAAGTAGACCTTGTCCCCATTTATACTGACTAAGGTGGGAACAAAGGCCCCACAGGAGAAATAATTTCTTATGTATGTGTTCCTTTCCTGCCAACCAGCCCCATTTTCCTCTGGACTAAGCAATAAAGACAATTAAAGTTTTCAACCTCATCTTGATCTTACCTTCCCAAAATGGTTAACATTGAAGCTGGCCACAAATCAGGTCCAGCCATACCTTCTCCATCCTTTCCAAGTAGGTCTTAATTTCTCCCTTCCTCATAAAAACCCCACTGATATTTTCAGCAACTTTCCTCAGTGACTTCAGAACTAGTTTAAAGCCCTCTTTCATTTTTGTTTCACATGTCTTTAGGAAAGAGCCCTCAAACATTCACATTCCCAGAAGACTTGCTGTGCTGCATTTATTCACTCATCATGTTTTGAACACAAGGAGGAAATAAAAAGGAGGGAGGAAAGTTGGGAGGCGGCTGTGGCAACAGGCAAACCTCCTACATCTAGGAAGAGATAGCAAGTATGCCAGAGACTAGGACAGCCCTCAGGCTGGCTCTCTTCTCAGATGCAGCAACAAGTGGACTATGTAAGCATGGAAAAATCATCAGGAATTCACAAGTCATGATTCTCCTGCACTTTTACACCT